CAAAAGAGTTACATCATATGGATCTCCAGGAGACCATTGTATTGAGAATTCAGCGAGAGAGAGAAAGCCATCTAGCTACTAACTATGGACCCGAAGGTCTACAAAGGACTACTCACGCATCATCAAAGAGGCACCAATGGAAGTGGTGAACCCCATCCGAGATGGTGTCTAGATTGGATCTGGTGGTTCTGGACTCTGCGGCGGCTGGATGAATAGAGCAAAGAGGCGGTCCGGGGGGCACCCGAGGTGGGCACAACCCACCAGGGTTCGCCTAGGCCTCCTGGCGCACCCTGGTGGGTTGTGCCCACTTCGGGGCACCCCCCAGGTGCAACCAGGGCCCATTATCTTCCTTCTAGCCCATAAAAAAATCATTGTGATGTTTCGTGGCATTTGGACTCTGTTTGATATTGATTTCCTGCGGTGTAAAAAACATGGAAAAACAGCAACTGGCACTTGGCACTATGTCAATAGGTTAGTACCAGACAATGATATAAAATGACTATAAAATGATTACAAAACATCCAAGATTGATAATAAAACAGCATGGAACAATCCAAAATTATAGATATGTTGGAGACGTACCAATCAGCGTCTTCAACTCCTCCGCCGTCGCCTTCTTCACCACAACGGCTGCCCTCTTTTGCATGTCTTCGATGCTAGTGAAGTTCGAGCACACTTCCATGGTGTTCTCGAACTTGTTGCGGTCACCGAGCGAGCACCCGAGGAAGAAAGCCCTCCATCCAATGCCCCAAGGGAAGGGGTTAGGGTTGGAGTTCATGGAGATGAAGAGGTGGAAGAGGAGTGAGAGACAAGGAGGCTTAATTGAGTGCGGTGGTCGGTAAGTAGTTAGCGTTTGGCCGAGTAAATATAGGTGTTTTGGAGAGGTGGACGATAGGATTTAATGCCGATCAACCTTTGAACTTTGTGTTGTTCGTAATGCAGAATTTTGTGATGCTCATAATGCAGATCGACACGGAGAACAAGGGCAAGGAGGTCGTGCCAGCCATGGAGAAGGCATTGAAGTGGTGACCAAGTACGGGAGGCACGATGACACCATCACCGTAAACGTCTAGAAGAGCTCTCTGGTGCTCATGCTGGTTTTGTTATTAGTTTAATGCCGTACTGGTTTGGTTCAAAACTGTTTGGTTTAAGTGTCGTACTATCGTCATAACTGCTTGGTTTGGTTTAAAACTATGTTTATATGCTACTATGTGTGTCTTTTCGTTTTTCTACCTGATTAGTGTGCGGGTAACCTCGCCACCTTGATGAGGAGGTTGCCAGACCACATGTGTTGCATGTAACCAAACGCCATGGTTTGTGTTTCCACCTAAACAAGCGGGCAATGAAACATCCTACCTTCCGTTTCGCCCCAGGTAGGGTAGAGGGTATCCAGGCAACAAAACAACATGCAAATGTTGGTTTTTGCTTGTTTTTACTCAGCTAGGCTCAACTGGGTCAAGCATGCAATGCAGACAAAAGTTGCTACGGCTACCAAACATGCCCTAAAAGTTTGGATCCCACCCCACGGGCTTTGACAAGTATAAGAGCTCCCCTTCTTGAGGTTGCACTTCAGGAGGTCTCCATCAGCAGGGGTGTATTTTGCTCTCAACACGCTATCTCATAAAGAGACAGGTTCTAATAAAAGTCTCCAACACTAGTTTGCTAACACTTCATGAATGAGATCCTCCCTGATTATGTGGCAAAATCTCTTATAGAAAACATGTAGGCCATCCGCGTCTAGTGCCTTTAAATCACCCATATTATACATAGATATTTCACCTCATCTCTGGTGTAAGGTTTGTCTAACTCCACATTCATATATTCGGTCACACTGGGCTTAACCTTATCAATAATATCCTGGTCAGTTTCTCGGACCACCGGCAAAAACAGGGAACAGAAATAGGTCGCCACATGTGACTTGAACATCTCTTGCTCCTCGATCCAATCAGTTGTAGCTGCTTTCAATCGTCTAATGAGAATTTTATTATGTCGCCCCGTGGCTGCCCTATGGAAGAAGTAAGTGTTTTGGTCGCCGTGAGTAAGCCAATCAGCACAACTTCTCTGGATCTAGTAGATTTCTTCCTGTTTGAGCAGGTTCTCCATTTGCATATGAAACACACCGGAGCAGGTTCTCCATCGACTATAGCCCACTGCTCATTCATGCATGTGACCCCCTGCACCACGAGAAAATATCACCACTGTAACCAAGATAATCCATATTGTAATCATTAAGGGCATTACTAAATGGTTGCATACAACGTTGGCGGTGTGCAACTCCACCCTCTTTCTCATGAGCATGCAAGATTACTTGAAGTCACCTTCAGATGGATTAATAACCTTGACCTAATTGTCAATTAAGGGAAGAGATAATGTTGATAACGGAATATGGGTGAACCTTCTTCATTTTTTAACGCTAGATTATGTTTTTTTGGTCTATTTGCTTGATTCTAATTATGGGCCAAGGATTAAAGATACGACTAGAGGTGGGGTCAATAGCAGACTACACATTCGAAATTTCTTATTTGATTTAGCGACTGCGGCATTATAAGTTCTCTAAAATGTAAATACAACTAAGATGATTTAACCTATATGAGACAACAGATATTGCAAAAAGACCAACATGTTACAGTAGCAAGCAACACTCAGTCAAATAATAATGCTCGGTAGAAAAATGTAACCACAAGTCAACGAGACAAAGATTTACCACGTGGTTCACGCCCTAGGACGGTGGTGACGTGAACCTAAGAAAGTACTCCATGACATGGACTCATCAAGTAATCTTGTAATGATGCCTTCTACAATAATGGAGATACATGCTATTTCTGAACTCGCAAAAAAAAAAAGATACATGCTATTTCGAAAGAAGACATTTAGATTATTAGAGGAGATGTGCCCAAACATGTACAAGAATGTACCAACATAGTATGCCACAACGACGTCAATGGCCTAGCATGAATCAAAACTAATAAACATACCAAACAGCAATACAGCGAAATGAATGAATATAACCGGCCGTACATATAAGATAACTAGCTAGGGTCTACATGTGCATATGCATCCATGATTGTATCTGTGGTGGTGGGCATGACGAGCGTGCTTCTTGGCCTCTTTCTTCTTGTGGTGCTCGTGGATGGCGAATCCTGCGCTGCCGGCGGCGACAGTGGCGGCGATCTTCTCCTTCATCTTGTGCGACCTCGCATGCTCCGGGTCCTTCCTCGCCTCGTGCTTCTCGTGCTGTATACCGATCGTGAAGTGATTGTTAGTTCTAGTTAAGCATGAGTAATTCACATTACGTAGAAAATAAGTAGTACAACGCATGAGGTGTTTGCTGCGTACCCTAGCGTATGCTCCGGCGGCGACGGCACCGAGCTTGGCCAGCTTCTCCATGTGCTTGTGATGCTTCTCCTCCTTGCGGTACTGCTCGCCGCCGGCCTCGGTCTTGCCGCTGCTGCTGCTGTGGCGACCCATCACAAATTAGCTTTCCGAGCTAGCAATGGAGTACCTCGGTGTGCGAACTAAACGCGTGCCTTGCCTTGTCTATACATGAGGAATGGAGGATGATGATCTGTGTTTGTGTGTTTGTGATATGTGCTTGACATGAGGGCATGCATGTCTCTTTATATAGGAGGATCTGTGTACGGGCGCAACATGCAGCTCGCACGTACGTGCGCGCCTTCCTCTTACGCGTTCTCAATTTTCAAGCAATTATTGAGCCTTGTTCATATTGATACCGACCGATCGCAGATATATTTCGCTTTCGTAGACTAGATGTGGCTCGATCAATCGCCCTCGCGTTTTCTTCTTCAGATAGAAAACGACACGCACGCCACTGGATTTCCAGTAGAAACGAAAACTACTCGAGGACGACCGAGTTCGTTTGCATTCTAGCTTAACCGCGTCGGCCGGCCGGTCGGTGCAACACGGCTAAGGATTTATTTTTTATTTTTTGTGCCCGGAACGGCTACGGAATTTTCGACACGACTAATTAACTTGTAACTAAGCAATACGTACGTGTCGCTAGCTCATGTGGACGTACGTGCATCTACCTGAAAGTAATTCCTCTCTAAAGAAATACTTCCTCCGGCCCAAAATAAGTGACTCAATTTTGTACTACTCCCTCCTTTTCGCTTTATAAGCTTTAAATCTCAAATCTCATCAACCAAGGCATTTTATTAGTGAAGGAATATATCTCGTACTTTATAAAACTACCCCAATTAAGCTCATGCATTAATTTGGATTAATTGCAGTGCATGCATGCTTAGCCAAAAGATGAGTAGGAACATTACATGCATTGATGTATTCCTCTTTAATTCTTACATGCAAAGATTTAATGCGCATTCGAAACTGAAAAATGAGATGAAAATAAGCCTTCTAAATTGAAAAAACACAAAAGTTGAGCTAAGCCTTATAAACCGGAAAGGAGGAAGTAACTTCTATACAAAGTTGTACTATAGTTAAGATACTTATTTTGGAACGGAGGGAGTATAAGATAGGGGTCTAAGCATTCTTATATTTCTTTACAAATGGAGTAACATTTTTTTTAAACGGATCCGTACCTGACGTATCATCTACGGTATCTATCCATGCAACAAAAAGGAGGCAAAGGGGAACCAACCTGCAGTAGGAAGGTTAGGAGGACGGTATTATCTCTAGCGCACCAGGACTCAAGTTCTAAACTTAACACCAGTGCTCGTATTTTCATGGATTTATTTCACATCCTCCAGCGTTGTGTATTTAGTGAGAGGAGACGTTCTCGTTGATTAAGAAGGCGTTTGTAGCGACTTCGTCAATCGCAAGTTGATGTTTTGGTTCAGTCTCTCGAAGATGCTCATAAGAGTAGGATGAGTGTATGTGCGCATGTATGAGCATTTACGTTTGTACTATGTCCAAAAGTAGCGGCAAAAGACGGTCATTTTTTCGCATCTATATTTATATCAATATAAAAAGACCCAAAGGGACAGATCCAATTAATCTCGACCATCAAATCATGTCAATCCAATGACCTAGATTGCGTCAATGTCGAGCGCTCAACACGTTTAGTGTGCAGTTAATTTCATGCCAAATATAATGCTAATTACTCCCTCCGTCTGGGTGTGTACGTCACCTTATGAAAATCAGATTTTTCCAAAACGTTTAGGCGCCGTTCATTAATTTTTCATCTCGATTCCCTCTCAGCCTTGTTCGCCAGCCAGCTTTGCCTCCTATACCTCATTATCTTCCAGCGATAACCCATCCTTCCATTTTTTTTCTCAGGCAATGACCAATGCATGCAACACGTCTGTGCGTTGATTAGGCGAGAAATCAATGCGGCTTTGCATGCTAGAAGTACGTGGGCATGCATGGTAGTTAATACGTCATCCTCTTAATTGTTGCGATTAAATGCTATGTTTAGAAGAAGGAAATCAACGTTTTGATTGGAAGAAGGACCAGTCCAAATTTTACTTCTCCTCCAATCAGCTTGTACTTAGGTCATGATGCATCTTCTAATGTGACTTACACACCTAGACGGAGGGAGTACATAATAATATGCAAATAATATTCTATTTAATATCCGCGTGCACTTAATGTACTTTTAAATAGCGTGCATTGCATGTACACATTGACTATTTCAATTAAGTAGCAGTTGTTGTTTTCAATATAAAAAAAACTAGTAATTGCTCCACATGCACATGTGGTAAGCTGCCAAAGTACTCTCCTCGCGAGAAGCCTTTTCTTAGACACCCTTTGACTTTTCTATTGCCAGTAATCTCATGATGGATACCATAAAAAAAGTCACACGATGAGTTAGGGCATCCCAACGCTAACCTTCAAACCGTCCGCATACGTTCGGACTGTGCTGTGTGGATGTATTGTACCATCCAACGCGATTCTGCATCGGTCTACCGACAGGTCCGGTCGTCCGTTTTCCCGCAAATCAGACCAAACATAGGTGGGCTTTGCAAGAGTCCTGACATCTGGATGACCAACAAAAAACCACCATGTATCGTCTCGACTCTGCGTCTGCCCATGATAGCTAGTATTGAGTAGAATGCAATGTGATAATTGCAGAGCTAGCGCTTTGGCGGAACGGAAGGTGCTAATTAGTATTTTAATTAATCAAATTAGGCATTCATTTGGCGAAATGTGCTCATATCATTTGGGGGAAGGTTGCTTCCGCCATGGCATGGCGTGCTTAGTAGCCTTGCTTTGATTTGGCGGAAGGTTCGCTTTCGTCATGGTGGTGCGCTTAATAGCCTTGCTTAGTGCTTTTAGTAGGTTTATTTAGCAAAATGTTTGCTTTTAGTAGGTTCATTTGGTCAAATGTTTCCCCGGATGTTTTGAATATATGCGGCTATGGTTGGATGGCCGTCTCCTGCATCCTTATACGCGGACTGGTCCCCATGTTCATGGACAGATGCCGGAGCGAATTTGCAAGTCAGCATTGGAGATACCCTTAGCTTTCCTTTTTAATTTTATTTTAAGAATCACCAATAGTTTTATTGAAGCTCAACATCCATTAGCGGTACAATGCCTTGGATCATAGACCCAAGAAAATTACAGAATAACTCCTATTACTATGAATTACAAAGATATTTCTTGGAGACTTATTGTCCATGGTGACAATCCTTGCAACATGACCTACTAGCAAGGCATTAGTAAAGATAATGCAATCACACCTCGGCCGTGGTACCGCCAACCGTATACTTGCATGAGCTTATTAACTACTGAGGGAGTCCTGGATTAGGGGGTGTCCGGATAGCCGGACTATACCTTCGGCCGGACTCCTGGACTATGAAGATACAAGATTGATGACTTCTTTCCGTGTCCGGAAGGGACTTTCCTTGGCGTGGAAGGCAAGCTTGGCGATATGGATATGTAGATCTCCTACCATTGTAACCGACTCTGTGTAACCCTAGCCCTCTCCGGTGTTTATATAAACCGGAGGATTTTACTCCATAGGACGAACAACAATTATACCATAGGCTAGCTTCTAGGGTTTAGCCTCCTTGATCTCGTGGTAGATCTACTCTTGTACTACCCATATCATCAATATTAATCAAGCAGGACGTTGGATTTTACCTGCATCAAGAGGGCCCGAACCTGGGTAAAACATCGTGTCCCCTGCCTCCTGTTACCATCCGCCTAGACGCACAGTTCGGGACCCCCTACCCGAGATCCGCCGGTTTTGACACCGACATTGGTGCTTTCATTGAGAGTTCCTCTGTGTCGTCACTTTTAGGACCGATGGCTCCTCCGATCATCAACGACGATGCGATCCAGGGTGAGACTTTTCTCCCCGGACAGATATTCGTATTTGGCGGCTTTGCAGTGCGGGTCAATTCGTTTGGCCATCTGGAGCAGATCGAAAACTACGCCCCTGGCCGTCAGGTCAGATTTGGAAGTTTAAACTACACAGCGGACCTCCGCGGAGACATGATCTTCGATGGATTCGAGCCACAGCCGAGCGCGCCGCACTGTCACAATGGACATGATCTAGCTCTGCCGCCGAACAGTGCCCTGGAGGCCGCACCTGCATCAGCTTCGACCCTTAATTCGGAGCCAACTGCGCCAATCGAGGATGGGTGGTTGGACACCGCCTCGGGGGCTGCAATCTCTACGGCAATCGAGCCGAACACCAGCCCTATTCTCTGCGAAGCCCGTGACTCCAAGGAGCCGGACTCCTCTCCAGATTCCGAGCCCTCCGCGCCCCTACCGATCGAACCCGATTGGGCGCCGATCATGGAGTTCACCGCCGCGGACATCTTTCAGCACTCGCCCTTCGGCGATATTCTGAATTCACTAAAGTCTCTCTCTCTTTATCAGGAGAGCCCTGGCCGAACTATGGTCAACAAGGATGGGATGCGGATGATGAAGAAATTCAAAGCCCACTCATCACCCACTTCGTAGCCACTGTCGATAATTTAAAAGACGTGCTCGACTTCGACTCCGAAGACATCGACGGTATGGACGACGATGTAGGAGATGAACATGAACCAATGCCTATAAGGCACTGGACAGCCACCTCATCTCATGATGTATACATGGTGGACACACCCAAAGGAAGCGACGACGAGGAACACTGGGATGCAACGAGGGATCGTTCACTCGAAAAGCAATCAAAGCAGCGACGTAAGCGCCGCTCCAAGCCCCGCCTCGACAGAGACAACAGCCATACAGACCCAGCCATAGAGCAGGACGAGCCGGCGGACGACGAACATGGCTTCGAGCAACCGTCCGAACAGGGCAACTTGGATAAACAAACCGAACACCCCGTCCCCGGTGAAAACAACAGTCCGGACGACCTTACACCGGATAGGCTCATGGAGCAGAAGAACCTCCACGAAGGGCTCGTTGCTACTGCGCGTAGCCAGAAAAAGCAGAAGCGGAAGCTCAAAACTGCGGAAGATGCACTCAGAATCAGATGGAGCAAAGTACGCAACACCGCAGACAAATATGGCGGAAGTCGCCGCACAAAAAGCTATCCAAAG